TGTCATCTCCATCAAACAAAACTGAATTCTTTCAAACATTTCTCAAGTTTCATGGTTTACTGTACCTGGACCAAGGTTTGTTAGATACATAGAGTGTTTATTATTAGAAGCTGTAGTATGGAGTGCACAGGTACAATGATTGCCACTGCACACAATAAAAAAATTAATATATAATTGTACTCCATAGATTTTTCCGAAGCAAGAAATATTAAAGATAAAGCTGTTGATGGTTTTCAAGTAAGACTTCCTTACAAAATGTCATTTTTCTTTTTGAAATAATATGTCCCTCTTCTTTTTTTTCATTCTTTCTTTCATTTCTTCTTCTTTTCATTCATTTATGGATAATATTTTGTGCTGTTGTTTAGTTGGTTTTGCAACAAGACGCTCTTCAGCAAGATGATGTACTGCGAATTTCTGCCATCACACTGTTTACTCTATACCACATCAAGTGTGGCAGAGGTGTAGATGACTTGGAGGAGTTTGACTGCATCAGCAAGGCAGAGGAGGTGAAAAGCTTACAAGATTAACTTCTTATTATTTTTTGCAAAGTTTGGTATTTGGTATTAGGTCATGAGCATGAATCCTGCCTATTCTCTCTCTTTATTTTCATCATCATTATTGTTAATATTTTGCTCTTGATTAATCCATTATATTGAAAAGTTGCTGACTTAAATTCCCCTTATTCTCTTTTAGGAGAGTTGGCAATTATGTCTTGAGTTTGCAGGTAAAAATACCACCTTTTATCCCTTTACAAAAATTAATTAGTTAGTCATAAATAAGTTTATTTTCACGAAAGTGCTCTAATGTTTTAGATTCAAGAAGTAGCTTACTTAATATGGACTAAATACAAGAATTGCAGACCAATTTTGGAGAAGTTGATAGTACATAAAACAAGAAAAAAGTTACCTCTTTACTTTTTACCTGAAGATGGCCAAAAATAAAGTACATGATAAAGTACTATAAGTGTGTGAAAGACAAATTGGTTTGGCAAAAAAAAAACAATACTTATTTGAGATAGAGTACAAACATTAAATGTGTGCAACACTTTCCACTATTTAAGCTTACTACAAAATAGTGTTAATTAAACAATAGAAATCATAATTTATCAGTATTTAGTGGTATTTATGTTGCGCAGTTTTAGTGTTTGTCCTCTAATATGTGTTCTGCTATTTTAATTAAATTTTGTATTTTTTCAATAACACATTCATTATTTTTTGACAGTAAATCTGTTTGACGTTGCACTCACTCACATCAATGACAATCCAGAGGACATGAACAACACTACCTTACTGTACATAAGTGTGTTTTGTCAYTGGATCASAGGGAATTCAGCCACTGCATGGAAAGAAGACATTGTCAAGTCTGAATTGCAAGTATCACATGGTTTAGTACATCACAATATATGTATAAATGACAACTTGTACTCTTTTGAATGATAAATATACAAAGTAGGGACGGCAGAGCAGTTAATATGCTTTAAAAACAGTCAATTTTGTAAGTATAGTAAGTGTGCATATGTTGGCACAATTGTGGACACCTTTGCATCTTTAACTAAGTTTAGTTTTCCCTTCAAATTGTTTATACTTTAATGTTGTTTTTGTTGACAATTTTTTTAGAATTTGGGAAAAGTTTGCAACACTTCTTAATCATTTTTCATCGACTGGACACCAAATTGAGAAGTCAGGTAAGCTCTCTTTATATAACACTGCTGTACTAGCCCAAGGTAAAGTATTTCCCAAGGGCCAGAGTAAACTCCATCCTCGGTAATCCTCGGTAATATATCATTCGTTCCTCACTCCAAGAAAAATACCCCTGAGCACAAAGTCTGTTAAACCTTGTTCTAGATTCGAAATTCAAAATGGAGACTGGTAAAAATCTGATTGGTCGAGTGATGATTCACTTGAACATTCTGATTGGTTGATTTATTTACCGGCTGGCATTTTGGATTTTGAATCGAGAACAAGGTCTAACAGACTTTGTGCCCAGGGGTATTTTTTCTGGGAGAGGTATTTTTTTGGGGAGTGATGAATGAACGTCAAAAGATTTCTCCTGGGTTCCCGAAGATCGGGTAAACTGTAGTTTGATTTTGGTTAACAGATTCAATCCTGAAATAACTTAAAGTTATCTCTTTTGTAGATGTCCCCATTCTTGAGGACAGAGAGCTACAGTGTTTTATTCCCCTAAACAGTTTTCAAAAGTAAGTATTCATATCTCCTCTAAAGAAATTTTTCAGCCTATTAACTATTTTAGACTTTCCTCTCAAAAAAATGTTTTTTTTATTGTTCATTTGATTTTATGGTTTACAAAAATAAAATGCTTGTCACATAGGTAGTTAAGTAAAAAAAAGAGAAATAAGGACTCTTGGGTTAGGGTTAGGGTTGCTTATTTGGTAATTTGTTTTCCAGAAAACTTAACTTTGCCATAAAAAAAGCCAGGGTTGACAATGAAGATCATTGTCGGAGAAGTCGTCTTCTTCAGTTTGGAAACAATTTATCAAATCATTCTCCAAGGTTTGTAATTATTATTATTATCTATTAATTGAATAATATTCAATAATTACGATTTGCTGGATTTTATGTAAAATGATATTCTGCTAACATATTCTTTTCTGGCAGGCTGCTATCCAAGATAGATGATGTTTTGACTGGAATTGCTAAATTCTCCCTTCATACAGAGACCAATTCTACTGAAAATGTGAGTCTCCATACTCTAAATTCACAAAAGTAATAATACGTACAATGAAATTCTCATTTTTATGCTGTTCTGGTAACGTAATATTTCAGCAGGTCCACAGTTTCCAGGAAAGACCCCAAAAGTTTGTAAGAGGTTTTGGAGTTGAATCTGTAGCACCACAAGGACCACAAGCCCCTACTCTTACTGCCTCAGCATTCCTTCCACAGAAGTCTCCATCACCTACACCGTTCACCGAGACAAGGTAAAATACTTCCATCGATTTCTTTAAAGGCAGATGGTTTCAAAGCATTGGTTGCTTTAATGAAGGCAGTGCTTTTGAYYAAGACAMYYAGCTGAATATCCTCTCTCATACTTCACAAAAGTCTCCTTTGTAGGCTACCCCTTTGTTGGGCTTCCTGTCCCTTTCAAATTCATTRGGGACAGAAAGCCGGCAAAGGGGTAGGCCTCAAAGAKGACTAACTTRACAACTGATACTAATTATAAAATCTGTGACCAATMCTGTACTACTTTTGAAAATCTGAAATCCATGACTAAGGCTCAAGAAGAGTACAAAAAACCCTGAGCTTTTGAGCTTCGTTTGAAGACAAAAAATATTGAACAGGATAACTTGAGTTCAAGAAATATTTTTGAGATTGGGTACAAATTTTCAGAGACACACAATGTGTCRTTTGTCAGCCCTAGTGRCAAAGAGGAGCAAAGACAATTATTGRAATYCCARASKCTAGTGGCCATTMTACACAGGGATCCKAGGAGGGCTGCTACACGGGTTAATTACCATGTAATATCATCTTTGTTTGTAGTTCTCTATTCAATAATACCCATGGTGCAATTGGAGGTCCTGTTGAAAGACCATCATTCCTAGCAACACCACAGGTAGCCCAGTACTCTTTATTTCAATCTGGATGGAAGGCGCCACTGACATCTGCCTTTGGTTCYACTGGTAAGTTTTRWTTTCMTTYGATTACCTGTGGACACAGGAAGCCCATTTTWTCATTTTTGTAAATCTATTGTTTTCGGCAGGATCRTCYCAGTCATCTCCTATAGAAAGACCACCAAARGAACTATCACCAATAGGGCAACCACTTGTAAACCAAGGACCGTTATCCATCACACCAGGAGAGTACCAACCTCCAAACAGCACCATTCCAACATTTCAGAGTGCCTCTAGGCCCCAGGGCTWTTCTACCCCATCACCAGGACCACTRGATGGATTTGGGTTGAGTGAGAACTGGGGATCTGGTGTCTGGGGGCCATCTAAGACCAGRAGTAGCTCAGTGGTRGCAGTGCATGCACCACCACAMCAAGTCCAGGTATTGTACCATCGATATTCCAGGCACATTACACACTCAMTGGCAGATCTAGATGWTGGGTGYAGGCAGRTCACTCKCCTTCKAAGACATTGTWTCATTCAARTTTCCCCTAATTTGTGCCCCTTTGTCACCATTTTMCTGGTCGGCACSCCTTTTTCCTTGGYTYACCTGCACCCCTAKCATTTTATACAATATCTGCCTATGGGACAAAATTTTAAGTTGATTGAATTATGTMAAATTCTTAGACTCTAACTTCACSTTTTTCTGTAGTCAATGTGGAGTCAAGATCTATCTCCTGGCCAAGGCTTATCGCCACTTCAGCAGCTTCTCCACGACCAACAGAATCGAAAAGACCACAACGGCACGTGACTGACATGAGGGTTTCACGTGATAAGAACGTGATCTATTGAAWTGATGGCAAGATTTTGCTTTACTGTGCACACGAGATTCCCTCGTGACAGGATAGTTAAATTGTGCGTTTATGCATGCATTGCATGATGGGACTAGTTACCAATCCCTCTCTGAACTTGAACCGAGGCTACATGTAATTTTAACAGTTGGAAGTCGTTTTCCTTATCTTTCCATCTTGAATTCACTAAAAAGAGCATTAACTTTTTTGTAAATTAAAGGAAGAAACTTTGAACCAACAAGCCGAGAAATAAAACTTCATGAAAACATTATTGTCGTCGTTTTGATGAATTTGTTGCTTAATTTGAGTCAAGACTGATGTATGACTCAGCAACGTTTGTACATTTAATGCAGTTTTGACACTTTTTGCATGTAATCACTTGGTAGTACATCCTCCTCACAATGTAGTAATTAGTATATTAGTTATTAATGTCACTCGTCTGATATGATATCAATATATGCTTGTACGGTTCATGAGGGTTACAATACAGTTAAGTGTCTATCAGGAGAGTTTGCTAAATGTCCATCTATAACTAGTCCTTATCTTGTGGTCTTGAGCATCTCTGTTTATGCTGATGGGTCTTTTCTTGTCGTAGGTATGTCTCATTATGTATTTGGTGCTGTGCTTCCCTGAAGTTAAAAGGTCTTCTTGTCCCGGGGGACTCCCTAATATAAAAGGGCGGGGGTCCTCCTCATCCCTTTTAGGGTTTGAAATCAGTGCTTTGGTCCCGCTTAGGGTGATAAAGACAAGAATTCCCTCCAACTGAGCTAAGTCAACGACAACCATAACTGCTCATCAGATGGTTGATCTCAATACGAGCCGACGGCGTTTGATGCTTGTGCAAAAACACAAATAAAATCGGGAAACCAAAACAAAATGACCTGTTATTGATTGGTCCCTCTTAGGGGTGAAATTTCAGCACTGCCACGCCCATCATCTCACAATACAGGTCCCTTTTAAGGGTCATTTTCAGAATTTCCGACGAGGACCCCCACCCTTTTTTATTAGGGAGTGCCCCCGTGCTTCTTGTCGCTTGTTCTTCTGTATACGCCTTGGTTTTCTCATTTTTGACTGCATAAGATCTTATGTGAATGGTTGTCCTTACTTTAGGCTGTCTGGCTATATTATTTTAACTGGTCTCTTTGGCGATTGTTTATTTATGTCAGTGGTGTCGATGCCGAAGTTGGATCTCTTCAACATAGGTAAAATGGGTCTCATCTTTTCGATCATTCAACCATTTTGCAGGTGACTTCATGTAGTGGTCAACTGTTGTAGTGCGGTAAGATAGGTGATATGTCCACATTCGTCATTTTCTTTATGTATGATGAGCCATAGGATTGTGGGTATAGTGGTGACCTTCTATGCCATAAGAGTGTGGGAATCAAACTATATTGCGACCCATTGTCTGACACTAGTTGCTGCTGGCATGCCAAAGCCGCATCCAGCTGGTGGGTGCAGAAGGTGTGACCACCCCTTCCTGAGACTTCAATGCTTCCCCTTGTCTTGGATTTCCCTTTTAACCATTTTTGTGAAGTGCCCCATCCTGATTGCCCTGCATCCCTCCCTGTAGAAAATCTTGGATCCGCCTCTGCATGCCATGTTTGGAAAAATATGCTTTTCATCTGGTTGATAACTGCACGTGAGTTGGTACTGCTTCCTCTTCGTACTGTTGTCCTTTTAACTCAAAGAGGTCTGTGTTTAGCCCGTGGATAGTAACCGGGTTCTGGCTGCAGTGTCGTCTCTTTCTCTTACTTGTTTGGTACAGATGGTATATGTGCTGCACCCTTTTGCTGTATCAACTATTTTTTGGTTAACTAGTATTATTACTTTACCAGAATACTGATGCACATGGTGGCATAAAGCACCTCTCTTGACCTTTTGACTTGAAAGCTATTATAGATCCCAGTTTCGACAATCATGTGATGGTTTTACGTGTGTTTCGACATATTGTGACCACTTGTAGTAATGAAAGTATATTACACGCTGACTGTAAGAATACAGGTGCACTTTGCTTCATCTCTACCTCTGTAGCTTCTACCAGTCTTTCACTATGTCAGCTACGATGTACTCAATCACTTTTATGTATAGACTATTGTCGCAAAATATCTTCTTTCAGCTTTTTCCCTTTGTTTTCTCCAGTTTTTTAGGATTTCTTTACGTTCATTATCCCAGTCATACCATGGATCTCGTCCCAGGCTATTATCCCTTCGTTTGGGGTCATCACGAAGAAAAAAGAGCCAAACTTGAGACGTCGAATCATTCCATCATATTTTGACATTCCCAGTCTGTTTAAACTTTTCTCGATGTCATCCCAAATACTAAGGAATTCGTCGTCTGTCATTTCACATGTATGGCTGATCACATTACGATAAAGCCTTATTCTATATACGTCTGCCTCTATACTTCGATCTGTAGGCAATGGTTTCCCTTTCCATAGCCTACATTTAGGAAGATTACATATGTTGCTTAACAAAAGCGAAAGGAGTGTTATGTCAAAATGCTTTGATTCTGCAAAACCCGATGTGGGGTAGAGTTTACGACGTTGTTCTTTAGAAATACAGAGCATTCGAAGTATATCTTGTACGGAAGTGGAATGGAGAACTTCATGCAAACTAGATGGTGGATGAATAGCATCAAATACATCTTGCAGCACACGTCTTGCAATTTGCAGCAACAAGATCAGTCTGGTTAAGTTGGTTGATTCTTTATCTAAACATGTTGATATGAAGCCAGTAGCCATGTCAACGTCTGTACAAAAAACAAAGGATTTTTACAATGACTAACAACTTTAAAAAGGGGGGAAAGAAAAAAAAAATAGATAAAGAAACAACATAGAGAGGAGGGAGGGGAAAAAGGAAATAAGAGTGTGTCATCAGGGAGCCTGACAGTACATTAAAATAAATCAAGGTAGGTTATATCGTTTGTAGTAGTATAGGAAATGTGCGTTCACCGTCGGGATTTCCGGGATCACTCTGAATCCTCGTCGCGGATTGGTCGAGAGTCCGAAGGAAGTGACGTCACAGGTCACACATGAGCCAGAATTACGTTACATATCAAAACGAGGCAAGGAGAAGTCATTCTGTTCAAAACGAGGTAAACGGAGGTCATCCAAGAAAGGAAGTGAAGTCAGGTTTGAAAGAGAGCCTATAAGCTGCTAGTTATTGAGCATTTCGTCCATTTCACGTGTTGGGTGCTCATACTGCTTACGATCATATCTCTCATCTTTTGTTTGACATGCGGGACTCTCAACAGTGCCCAGCTTTGCTGTGGTATATTCACGAAAAAGTCGATAGAGAACATCATCATGTTCACCAAAGTCAATAGTGGAGATTTGTGTCTCACAAGTTCTTTCTTTTGCCGAGGTGTAACTGGAACAGTGGAGATTGTTAATGCACTCGGAAACGCTATGATGAGGTCTTCGGCGACAACTTTGGATGTCGTTTACTTGTAGAGAGAACCTTCAGATGGCGATAATTCTTTTTCACGCGACGACTCATAATCAACCTGTGTGACATTTTATATTTTTGGCACATAAGCGTACTGGGTTTCAGCATCATTGTTTGTAGGGAATTAGGGGAATTTCGAATGTACGTTGTGGGTGCTCATTCTGCTTACGATCATTCCTCTCATCTTTTCTTGGATGCGGGTCTCTCAAGGTCAGGGATAAAAGGGAAGGAAGGGATAAAAACATCATCTGTTAATCTACACGAAACCAACTTTATTTACAGAAATACTAGAATATCTAAATATTTACATCTTATTTGCATAATGACCGTATGCCCTGGTGGTTATACCATCATCTAAAACATACCGTTTGTCATCATACGGACTCAACCCTATTTTGTTTATCTGTATTGCATACAATTGATGACACTCACTTCTAATTTGCTTCATAGTGTTTACAGTTCTCTTTTTCTCAATTAAGCAACGCTTATAATGTTCATGTCTAATGTCCCTTTTTGTGACGATCTTAGATATTCCCTTTGCAGTTTTCTTTTCCACTTCTCTTCCATTTTCAGAAAACTTGAGGGAGTACATTTTAGGACGTAATCCAATGAACTCTTCGATGGGGATGCCATGGGTTTCGTCCTTCATCTTTCCAAGCGCTTTCTTATTTCTACTACTGTAGAGGTGGTGGTCTGTTGGATATTCTGAGGTGTCGAAAACATCAAGATCGGGATGGAAATCGTGGTAGATGTCTTGGGTTGAGACATCATAGCACAGACTATCGGTATCTGTGAATAACAGCTTACAGCAAGATCCATACTTGGACATCATGTAGTTATAATGGAAGTTATACATTAACACTTTGGACAGATCGAGGATGGTGAAACCTACATAGATAGGACGATTCAAGTACAACTTGGTTTTTTTCATATTAACTGCTGCTAGATCTTCTGAAAAGATTTTGAAGAAATCGAACGCAGGAGAGGCAGACAGCTTAAGAAGCTGGGTTTTGTTTGTTATCAGCTTCACGTTCACGCGCCTTCGTAAATTCTCCATCGTTTTCCCGAATACACTGTTATTCATTAATTTAAAGAAGTCCTTTTCAAAGTCACTAGTGGCCTGCTTGCGCTTGTCTGTGTTGAAGTCGATGTAACACTTTAGCCAAGTGCTTTGTGCAAATGTTAGGACTTTATGGATCTTTGTTAGACGCATACCAAGAGCAAGGTAGAGCTGTAGATTTCTGTAATGGAGGATGTACTTTGTCTTGTTGTTCAAATTAGGGACTAGCTTCCGCACAGACGCACTTCCCAAGTTTAACTCTTCATTCAATTGTTGACAATAAGGAGAAAGCATTTCCGAGGTGACTTTCATCTTTTCAGGAGCTAGAGGGTAATCGGAGTGTGAATCGTGAAGTTCCTTTGGATATTCTAAGTCGACCTCTAGAATATAACCATCCTCACTATTCTCAGTCACTTCAGAGATGTCAAAATGCTCTATTTCTTGCTCTGTGAGCCAGGCAAAGTCGTGCGTTGGAAGAGGCTGACTCATGGCCCAACCATACAGGTTATTGGCATCTAGATACATTATATAGTTGTGATCTTGAGTAGGATCGTAGTCAGGAACGTAAGGGTTGTTAGCTTTACTATAGCGATTACTGATCATAGAAATTCCACCTCGCAATCCATCTTCTATGAACAAATACATATCCGGATCTGTGAGCAGTTTAAGTTTTACCCCTGTCATTTTGAGACAGGCAGCCCAAGCCAAACCTGGGCAAGTATAGTAATGTGCAGGATCCAATTGGTAGTAGTTTAAACAGATATTCCTAAAGTTTTCAAATACATCTGCAAGTAGCAGGACATCTGTTAGAAGATAGAGATCATGATATTCGCCAAGATTTTGAAGTTGAAACGTCTGAAAGACAGTTTGAGCGTGTTGATAGTCGACATCACTAATATGCTCATTCGTGAGTGTGCTGTAGAAGGCTTGTTTAGGTGGAAGGACAGACTCGTTGAACTTGCTCGTACTGTCCATATAGTCGTAAGGGTAAACACCTTTTCTCAGTAGAAGTGGCACTTTGTCTGAATCAATGTTCTTCTTTAGGACTTGGAATTTGATATCTCCTTCTTTAGCTAGGTTATCTACAAGCTTCTCCAGCGAGGCATTCATAAATTGTAGAGAATCAATGAAATCCAAGCTTCCAATAGAGAACGAGATGTATTTTTCCATATTATTCGCAATACAGTTGATTGGTTTGTTCTTGATTTTACCAAGCCCCTGCATCACGAGATGCGAGTCGTAGCCTTTCATGTTATGGAGAATTACAGGGATACGCCCCGTAAATCGAAAATTAAGGTTGCAGCTGTGGTGAGCAGCTCCTCTGAACTGTCCAGCCGGACAGGTGACAATGATCACGCACTTTATCTGCACCCAATTCCTCTTTACAGATGTGACAGCGTGTGGCTCTTTCAAACTGAGCTTCATCTTCTGCTGTTAAATTCATGGGAACAATGTCCTTTAAAATAGTAGATATCTGCTTCTCCTCTTGTTGCAACATTTCGAGGAACGTCTCTACAGCATCTTCCCCTCGGTAAACTACAGGGGATTTACAATAACCAGGCTTTTGAGATAAAATCACATAGGCAAAACCACAGGCCTGATGATGTTGATATTTTTCTGTAGATGACAGGGTGGGTTCTTTAGAGACTGAATGTATTTTGGTCGTTAAACTTTCGAAGTCGGCATAGATGACAAACGGTACTCTTAATTGTTTGTGAAAATCCTTAAACTGCATGAATGGCATGCTGTCTTCTGAAGGCAGTTCGATTTTTTGTGCGCCGTGTTGATTGCAACGTTGTTGATGGTCTTGAAGAAGATCTTCACTTACAAAGCCGTGAAGGCAATAATGGCAGTGAAACATGGTTCCATTATGCTTCCTCTGGTCAGACAGAAGACGGTTCAGATTTCTTATCAAGCAATAGTGATTTTGTTGACCCTCAGAGTAGAGAAGTAAGTCCACATGAACATCAAATCTTTGCTTAGTAATATATGAAGGAAACAGAGTTCCATCTTCAAATCCAAGTACATTAATGGCGATGCAGTTTTGTTTTTCAAACTTTGAAATATTATCAAGAGTGACGGGAAATTCTATGCCGTCAAAGTTCAGTTCTTTAACAAACGGTTGATAGTGGTTAACACGTTCGGGGTTGAATTTCGAGTGAATGGAATGTAGAGAGGCCAGGATACTCCACATAAAGCATTTGTTATCGTTATTTTTGATGTTGACGATTGCCTTTTTATCTCGTAACTTTTTAGGTAAGGGAACATAGCTGGAACCTTTGATTGGACTGTATTGTGCCACGTTCAAGTTAACCTGCAACACTTGAGAGAGAGTCCAACCGCTTCCTTCTTTCTGGTAGGCCATCAGCGCACTTATTATTTTCCCATTCACTTCATTTAGCTGCCCTTCTATTTCATAAGGATTTGTAGACGTCATGCAGAGGCTTCTGAAATGAGGCTCGGAGATGATTTCTTCTCCATCCTTATTGGATTTGAATAATTGCGCCTTTACACTAACAAACCACTTGATTCCTTTCTTTGCCTCTAGTTGTTTGTTCAGTTGTCTATGTAAATGGCTCTTTTTACCTTTCAAGGTAAGGCTCAAGTCGTATTTTTCTTCAGTTCGTGGCTTGTATTGGAATTTTTGCAGAGTTCCTTCTATCGCTGAGTTACGATGATCGTATGTGTTGCTGTCTTCAATTTTTTGTCGTTTAATTGAAGATTCGCCAACGTTTGTACTCTCAGCACCATCCTCTAAATGACGTTTTCCTTTATCTTTACGTTTACAAACATCCTGGTGCTCCTTTAATTTATCTTTCCTGTAAAACTTGTGACTGCAATGCTGGCATTCAAAGCGTTTCTCTTGAGAATGTATCTTTTCGTGGCGTTTAAGATTTCCAAGGAAAGTGAAAGTTTGAGGGCATCGCTCACATTGAAACAATCTTCCAGTTTTCTTGTGCTTGGTTAAGGTCTTTTCTTCGGCAAATGAATTTCCACGACTTGTACTTGCTGCTGTTTCTTTGTCCATATCCTTGTAGATTTCAGTAGCTGCACTCATTTGATGTGTACGCTTTGATGTCTAGAGACCAAATGACCTATATGTCCTGTAGCGTTGAAATTTATTCATTTTCAGTCCTTCAATTTGATTGGCTAAGTTCGAAACTCTAATATGACGTCTGCGGGCAAGTTTGAGCGGGTTCTTAGTTTTGCCGCCAAAGGCAATAGAAATAATTATCTAAAATTATGCGTGGAAAATGGCGCATTTTCAGTTTTTGATTGGACCAATCAGAATGAACTTCGTCTTGACTAATGGCGTCACTTTCTTTTTAGGATGTCTTCCTGTTATCTCGTTTTGATCGATCAGAATGACTTCCGCTTGAGCATTTTTGTGACGCCTCTTTACCCCCATGTGACCTGTGACGTTGCTTCGTGACGTCACTTCCTTCGGACTCTCGACCAATCCGCGACGAGGATTTAGAGTGATCCCGGAAATCCCGACGGTGAACGCACATTTCCTATACTACTACACGACGGATCCTCTTATTCTTTTGAACAAATACTTAATAGATGAGGTGACGGTTTCGTCCGCCATTTTGTTTGTGTAGCCATAGACTCAGAAAATAACAAGGATACAACGATGTCAACTAATTCCAGTATAATTCCTATTCTAAAAGAATCATTAATTTTAAATGTTAAATACTACGAAAAGGAGTTAACTTGCGAATTTTGAAGGACTTAGTTGATCTAGGGAGCGAGTAAACGCATTTTTTAGTTCTCCATACATTTCTTTGTATTTTTCACTCGCGTCACGCAAACGATGACCCCGGAAATTACAGAGAAATGTATGTGTCGGTTTTGACTCGCAAAATAAGAAGGATACAGTGTAAAATTGATGTCAAATAATTCCAGTTGAATTACTATTCTGAAAGTTTCATTAATTTTAAACGTTAGATAATACGAAAAGGAGTTAACTGCCGAATTTTAAAAGACTTGATTGATCTAGGCCCGGCGAGTAAACCCGTTTTTATTTCTCCATACTTATTTCTCTGTAATTTCCGGGGTCATCGTTGCGTGACGCAAGTAAAAAATACAAAGAAATGTATCGAGACATGAATAGTCGAACTGAATACAGTGGTCTAGTTTTGTGTGTATCGGATGTGCCGTAAATAACGCAACGTTTCAGTCTACGGTAATACTATACTTGAGGTCATCCTTGGACAGATTTTCAATAAGTTAAATCCCAGACATAAACTTTACACTATACGGCATTACCAAGTCCATCCCGTTACACATATATCATACCAATGGGGCAGTATGGAATATTCAAAACCACTGAAAACAAAACATAAAGAAATCAAAGGCAACTACCGCGTAGATCATGGAAAACAACCAAAAGTTGTTATTGATGTCTCGCGTCTCGAGCTCTTTACACATATATCATACCAATGGGACAGTTTCGAGAAAAACCACGGGAAACAAAACATATGGAAATAGAGAGCAACTACCGCGTAGATGATGGAAAACAACCAAAAGTTGTTATTGATGTTTCGCGTCTCTAGCTCTTGTGCTGCAGAGTGTCGAGTCGTTTGGTAAGCGTCAATATTTCTCTCTCTGAAATTCATCATGTTGTTTTAAAATGTTTTGATGTTCTGTGCTTTATGGTAGTTTTATAGAATTTTTACGGCGGAATTGATGAAATCAATAGAGCGTCTGTTCTAAGAGCTATAGCTCGTGTCGTTTCACAGATGGAAAGACTTGACCTTTATGAAAAATAGTTGTGTGTTGTCTGCGGACTCTGTCTCATTATTGTACGTAAATGTTACTACAATTATGTTGTAACACTGCATAAGCGGTATAACTTATAATAGTAGTGAATCGATAGATTGCAAATAATATACCCGTGAAATAGATAGTGACAAATAGGGAATAGTTAGTCCCCTTAGTTATACAAGACGTAGGAATTCAGTGAGGCATGACATAGGTCGTACCTTTTTCAGACATAATGCTTTTTTACAAAATCAAACACAGCTAAAGCTAAAATAACAACAAAACGCAAAACGCAAGTGAAATGATTTCAGAGCCTTTATTCATTTGTGCTACTGCCGAAAAAACGACAAAAGACACAATTTAATCTAAAAAATAACTTCAATAAACAATAAAACGCGTTTAATTATTTGAGTCATTTTGCTACAAAATCAAGGCACAAGACATTGTAAAGCTAAAGTAAAAATAATCAAAGACCCAGTACGCAAATGAACGTGTTTTCTAACGAGTTTATTGTTAAAGTCTAAGCTAAAAATCAAGACAAGACGCAAGTGCTTTTAATTTAATGACTCAAAAATAAAAAAAAACGAATTCGAACGAAGTCTATCGCTCAAAGCAAAGAGACGTACTTGACATGACAAGAACCAACAGCTAGCGCCTTTTATTGAACCTCAAAATAAACCGCAAGAGGAGTCTATCGCTTCTACGGAAAAGTTTGTGAGATAGGTACCTTTTCAGCAGGAGACATTGGCTACCAAAACTATTTCCAGCAGCATTTGTAACTTTTATAAAGTGTAGCTGGCTAGTTGAGCTCCAAGGAAGATGTTAAAAAACGCACGTGCACTGTCTCGGCTCACATATTTATCAACTAATAGGCAAGACCTAGGACATAATTAGTAATTAGTTAGCTATCTATTTCACGGGTATACTCATATTTGCACTCTATATAGGTGGTTATTGAGTTTAATATTAAATACATAGATGCTCAGTTGCAACAGCATGGTCATTTACTGAGAAATTGAGCTAAGAATCTAGTTCTTTCCAGCGAAATTCTGATTTTATTGATTGTAACGGGTTAGAAAGTAAAATTTTGATCCAATTTTCACACAATTCTTCCTTACCTTTTAACCATTTTGAGTTTAGTTTTGCTGGATCTTCATGTATGTGCTATAGTGGATGTGTGAGCGGCTGTTCATGGTGGATGGTCAACTAGAGATGTCTTCTACGCTCCTCTTCTTCCAAATAAACTGTGCAAAGATGAACCTACTCTTTTATAGTAAAAAGGGAGCAAGGTATCAGTTTAATAGTTTGACAGCAAATTGGCACTTTGTTCTGAAATACTATTGGCTGAAATAGAGTTATGATGTCATTACAAATGGAGCGTTCGAGTTTGCTGAGGGGTAAAAACCCGATGCCCCGCAATACTTATAATGCGAATTTGAACATAGAATTAAGACTGAAGATAGCTCTTATAGAGATCTAACCTAGTGCAAGGTATCGATTGAGGAAAGTTGGGAATAATGAAGTTACATGGCTTTGAACTAACGAAGGGTGTTAGGGCGTGGTCTATTATTATAGTTTCTCAAGAGAAAGGTTTAGTACTATTTCAATGCAGTGAGTTACGTGAAAATATTCTAACAATTCGATTGATTGTCGATTGATTAAACAATTAATGTGACTTATAATCTCATTATGTTTCCAAACTTCTGGTCTTATCTGACAGGTTAATGGAATAGTTGTGATTCCTAGAAGGAATAGACAAATTGATTGATGATTGATTAATGAATTAATCTGAGTTATAATCTCATTATGTTTTCAACCTTAGTTCATAGGCATGGGCTAAAACCTGGACTCATGGACGATGGACGATGGACGATGGACGATGGACGATGGACGATGGACGATGGACGATGGACGATGGACGATGGACGATGGACGATGGACAGGACCCAATTTTTATCATTGAACTTTTTTACATAATATCATATATAGTCTTACCTCGTCTTTTAAATTACAGTTACTTTTCTCCTTACAAAAATATTGCATTGAATTAATGAATGTGTTAGCTGCATGTTTCGTGTTCAGCCTTATTATGCAGCGACTGCTCGGGTCGACTTTTGTCTAGTTCCTTATCTAATATGGCGATAAGGAGCTGCTTTGGCTCGTATTCTATTATCTTAACAAATACTGAAATNGAGGGCGGAAATCAGATCAATGTGTGGATTGGGGTACCCACCCGACGTGTACACCCAAAATGCAAGTGAGTCGATGAACAGGGTTTTAAAAGAAGAAGATAAAGACGATCCCACAACCCGGAGAATGAGAAAAAATGTTTGTGACATTGTAGAAAGAGTAAGAAAGGTAGTGGAAAGGCAGGAGAACGAACAGTTCCTTGCGGTCATAGGTAGGGGAGAATACCAGATTTGCGATAATTATAAATTTCTTGAAGTGGGAGACAAGTATTTTCAAATGAACGATAAACAAAAGCAAGAAGTCAGGAGAAAGTTTTTTAGCTCTTCACTCTCAAAAGAAAATGCCGGGCATGAACAAGCAAATAAAAACGACTCTGTGGACGATCACAATCATCTATCTATTGTGCCAGAGAAAAGCGAAATCATTTCCGTACCTTTCATAGTTCTAAAAGAGATGTTTAATAACGCATCAAAGTTGATAAAATCAAGTTCGGGTATTGTGAAAGCGCCACAAGTACAAACTTCGACGACCATTGCAAACAAAGAAGAGTTATGGTTTGTGGCATCTCAAGCAAATCCAAACAGGCCACATCAAATACAAGCTGCTACAACAGGAAGAGTCGCATGTGACAGTTCTTGTGTTGACTTTGCCAGACACAGGATATGTAGTCATACTCTGGCAGTATCAGAAAAACGCGGGAATCTTCGACAACATCTACAGTGGTTTCGAAAAAATCGCAAAACCGGAACTATCACACAAATGGCAGACGTTGGCATGCCAAAATCAAGTGGCCAAAAGAAGAAATCAACCCAAAAGCGGAAAGGGCGTGCCAACAACATACATACATCAGTACAAACATCGTTTCCAAACCAAAAACGATGGTCCCCTGTAATGCAGCCTTTCACTCAAACACAAAAACAGCCTTTCACTCCGTTATCATRGTCAATGTTGTCTAGTGGAATGCTCTCTACGACAACCCGTAACAACTATCAAGCTCCAACAACACCAAATATTGTAAGTCAGCACAACCATTCAACAGTCTACAACAGATTCGATGCATACACGCCCTCGACTATATCTACTAAGCCAGACCCACAGCCTGGTGGATTTGAGGTSACACTGKTACATCTTTGTGACTCTAGGGTGTCTACATGTCACGGTTGTGGTCAGCCTATTCGGAGACCTGGAATGCCATTACCTCCTCCGGCTGATCTTGTCATCGTCACAAAAATGAGGCGTGACTACACCACTGCAGAAGGAGAAAAAAGACAGGGAAAGCTAGGAAATGTGTATTTCCATACTAATTTGAGCTGCATTCGAGCTAAAAACGCATTTTTTATGTTAAATCTTGTTTATGTGCCGCCTCATGTACGCGTGCTTTTAACRGTGTTACATAAGCAACACTTGCTAACTGCTATTGGGTTTTCCGCTTAAGTCATCATAACTCTAGCTTTGAAGTCTGTAGCTCCATTCGGGTTATTTTTTAATCAATTCTTTTTACAAGTACTTATTGGTTGCCTATATACGTTCAACTTATTGAAATCATAAATTACCTTTTTCAATAAATAAACACTATGGCAAACTGAGAACTGAAGAAATTTGTTAATTAAATTTTGTTTCACTATATACGCAATACACTGTAATATATAATATTGACATTGTTTTGTTATTAATAAATACTGTATTAGAGTGGAGGCAAGTTAGAGTGATAATAGCCAGAATCAAACAAAAGAAAACAATAGAAATAGAGTGTAATAGTAGTGAATAAGCTAACATTTATTTCACGGATTTATGAAAATCACTCTAGTACTTTAATACTGTAATCACCGTATATTCTGTATCACTAAAAAAACAGGCATAAATTCATATCTGTGCCTCCAGATGTAGACGTTCCCAGTAGATTACGTATTTGAGTTTATACGATTAAAATTCGACTAGAATATCTCTTGCGTGTAAAACATTTTGCGATCATTCAGGATTTGCAAGCGCTATAACGCTATACAAAATGATTAAGCTATGAAGTGCATTCAAGATTGCATAAATCAATATATCTCAAATATCATTGTAAAATACTTATTGTTTTAACGTTCATCAAGTTCAAAATCTTATCACTTTTTTTTAGTAGTTCTTTAGTAGTAGGAAACTTTATTGTATAAACAGCCCAGCTCGTCTATAAATACTCGCAGAGAAAGTATTCACATTTCACTTGACATTTCAGTATTTGTTAAGATAATAGAATACGAGCCAAAGCAGCTCCTTATCGCCATATTAGATAAGGAACTAGACAAAAGTCGACCCGAGCAGTCGCTGCATAATAAGGCTGAACACGAAACATGCAGCTAACACATTCATTAATTCAATGCAATATTTTTGTAAGGAGAAAAGTAACTGTAATTTAAAAGACGAGGTAAGACTARATATGATATTATGTAAAAAAGTTCAATGATAAAAATTGGGTCCTGTCCATCGTCCATCGTCCATCGTCCATCGTCCATCGTCCATCGTCCATCGTCCATCGTCCATCGTCCATCGTCCATCGTCCATCGTCCATGAGTCCAGGTTTTAGCACATGCCGTCAGGGCACATATCTGACAGGTTAATGACATAGTTGTGATTCCTAGAAGGAATAGACAAATTAATACCCAATAATTCAGTCAGTCTACTGGCGTGGAAATCTTATAGCAGTGACTAACTTGACCTAACTTATTTAAAAAGAACTCTAAAACAGATAACACAGATGGCAGGTCAAACAGCCAATGCAATTAATTGCTATTACAGTTCTAATGTAAAGCCGATGACTAGCCTACTAGAATATTCTAGAAAATACGAGGTCATTCTGGAAAATTCACGAATATAAATCTGATTATGCAAATATTCATAACACGTGAAGCTAATTGAAAATCATTGGCGATTAAAACGTGGTAGATTATTGTTACTATTATCATAATTGTTTTTTAAATGGAGTTTGTGCTCATCGACTGGCCCAGCAGGCCTTGAACCTCCATCGATTTCTTGTTTTCTAGCGACGGAATGAGCTGATTGGTTAGTGTTGGACCAAAGGGACCGTCACGACAGCGTAAACTTCTTCTTATGGTTCTTCTTTTCTACTTGATAACTTATTCCTTTAGTGACTAGATTCAGCTTGCTTCAACTAACTACAAAAGCTTATACATAACTTTATATGCGTTTTCCAAATTTAGACGAAACCTAAGTGTTTAAACAATGACCAATCATGGAATAGCTACGTAATAAGGGGAATTCCCCGCTCAGGACGACCTTGTCTCTATCTATTTTTAAAATCGACTACTTGACTGAATTCAAACTGCGTCATAAACTTAAACATAAATTGTTTATAAAAATATAACAATAATGGCATTTGAACATTTCCTAATTATTCTGTAAATTCTTGTTAATCTTAAACTCTGCAAAATTGAAATTTCTGGACATTAAAAACGCTGGTAGTTCGAAACTATAATTCAGCCCTGGCAATTTTTAAAAAGGATCTGTTACTAACTTATTTTAAAAAGTTTGAACTATTAGATTCAACAAAATATCAGGTATACGTAGTCTAACATTAGTAAATAAGTCTCGTTGAGTTTCTTTTTTTAACGTCCGAATATATAAGAAAAGAAGAAATGGTGGATTTCGATAAAGAATTCGATAAACGATTTGAATTCTGATGTTGCATGCGCTTCTGAAATGATAAACGTTCAAAGGTCTATACCCTTGATTCAAAAGTACTGCTTTTTTTNTTATAATGTGAATTATTATAAAGTTTGATAAGCCGTATACAGAACGAGAGAGCATGTTGTATTGGGGTTAAAGACCCTCGCCTTCGGCTCGGATCTTTATCACCCGATACAACACGCTCTCTCGTTCTGTATACATTACAAATAAAACTAGTGCACAAGACGCGATACATTTAAATTATCTAATAAATTAAATTTTCATAGTAGGGTATTTCTCATTATATTTTAGTTTTTTTCTAAAAATGACGCGATCTTTTGAAAGTTGTATAAAAAGATCACTGTCATGTCCACGATCCGGCCTTTTTACCCTACTGCGGAGAAACCCCACATCAATAAAGTCTTCATACGTTCAGATGGTGCGGGATGCTATCATAGCAATAATCTAATCGCAGRCGCCGTTGATGTTGGTAATAGAACTGGCATCAAGGTTATGAGGTATGTACGTTCATGTACTGCACCGGACCAAATTACAATCAATACAAAAACAAAACCATCTTGGCATCAATAATTTCATGTTTATATACTTACCATTTCACCTAGTCTTTTCTAATATGACTGTCAAATTGTCTAGAAATAGTACAAAACCCACATTGTCATCCATTGCGCGAAAATGGCAGTGAACACCCCTACTTTGTAGTTTTACATATATATCTTTTCAGCGAAGTCCGTGATCCCCCATTTTTCTCCATATTTATAACCTTTCACTTAAAGTAAATGTCTGTGCCCAAAATAAAAATAATCATCGATAGAAAATGCACGATCGCATGACCTTAACAAATGGATAAATGAACAAATAAATAAATGAATAAATAGATAAATAAAAACTGCCGCGAAAGCTATATTTACCTGTAGGTGAATATATCAGTATTAGAATTAAATTTTGACGAATGAGCGCGCCGGCTTTATTATACATTCATTTGTATAAAAATACTAATCATTATCATTACTCGATTTAATCCTTTTGGATGATTTCTAATTAGTAGTACAGTAGTAATTATAATAAATAAGATGAAACTGTATATTATGTTCACTTATATCAGTTTTATTGTTGTTAGGTATGACTTTTCAGAGCCTCAATATGGKAAAGATGTGTGCGATCGCATCATCAGCCCAATGAAAAGTTCGATAAGAAAATATTGCAGTGAGGGAAATAACGTCATATCAGCGTCGGACATGCACGAGGCGCTTAAGAAAAGACAAGTAAAATGGTCAACAGCTGCAGTCTGTGAA